GTCCCCCCTCGAACTCACTCACCGGGACATCCTTCAATTGAGGTAGGATGGCATGCTAGAAAAAGAATGACGCTGACGAGCCTTATGCTGTCATTTCCCCACAAGACGCATTTCCCCTTCCCCATCTATCTATGAGCAGTTATGCTTATGCAACTTATAATGGACTGTGAGCAGTTGTATCCGACCACTCTCTACATGGCTGTTTAGAAACTCCAGCGTTCTGGTCACCTTTCTCGAGCCAACCCGGGTATTGCAGTCGTTTCGCTTCTTCATGCTTTTCCTGAGATCCAAGATGTCAGAACTTGTGGGGCGGCCACAACAAAGACTACTTTTATTGGTCTTCTCTTAGTGCACGGTAGGCCGCGGAGCGGTTGAAAATCCAAAGAAGCGCGATGCTCATCACCGGATGTCCGACCTAGCTGTGTGAGAGGTTAGGCACTCTGTTGAAGTTTAGGCGCACCATGAGATGCAGGCCGAACGGTAAGCCGTGGAATTTGGCATGGTCATTGACAAGAGGATAGAGGATTGAAAGGTCTGCCAATCTCGGAAGAAAAGCTATAAACACCTACAGAATTTGAGCTCAAAATTTGGTGCAATATTTATGGGCACCCTGTACAATGCGTCATGCACCCCACTTCCATCCAAAATGGTGTGGGTTTGAAACTATACATTGCTTCAGAAATTGCATGGGGGTCAGCCAATGTAGAAGTCTGTTCCAACGAGTTTTGTCTGGAATGTAAAACTTTTCGTTTGCCGGTTGTAATTCAAGCCGGGAATTTCGCGAATTTTTTCGCAGCAGGTCAACGCTTCACCCTCTTCCAATCTGGGACAAGCCCGTTAAAATTACTGCTTGGGAAAGTTAGCCACACACAGCTTTATGAGTTGAAACTTAATTCCTGGTAACTTCTGGATGAAGTTCCCACTACCTTCTGAGCTCGTCTAGGACTGAAAAGGAAGAGTGATCGCTGACCCTGACCGATACTGATCGCCGGAGCCAGTCCGGTCTTTGGTGATCGATTCGCTGCCACAATTTGAACTGAAACACCTGACAATGCCATCTGTTAGGGGCTGGGCAGTCGCTAACAATCTCAATTGACCGTCGGTTTCTCAACATTTTGATCCTTTTGGAGTGTGCGCCTTCGATGCTTTCAGAGCTTTCATCGATTCCATATTTTGTGAATACCGTTTCAATGCTTATTTTTGACTTTTATTCGTTGTGTGAAGCCTGTTTCGCAGGACCGTTTGCTCTGCATTCCACATTCACTATGGATGTAGCAACAAAAGAACTTCATCAACGTGAGTTGCGGCTTACCGATAATGGACGCGTGAGTAGCTAGTTATTTGCTGATATATAATGAATTACTTTTAGGGTCTATTCCAGTTAGGGGGGGGGCATCATGGTGCGGTGACTCCCAAAAAGCTACGGTAACTCTGAGCCAGGGGGAGTGTAGCCAGCCTAGGGGGGTGGGGGTGAGGGCAGTCACTTGACATGCGTGAGAAGCTGGAATGTTCGAGTTTACATTAGCTCGCCGAGAAACTGCATCATGATGCCCCCCCCCTAACTGGAATAGAGACCCTACCGTAATATAAGAAGAATCGCAGCTCTACAAGAGAGTTTCAAAAATTTGAAGGCAAATTTCGGGATCAAAACAATGTGTTATTGCGCTTGCAAGTGACAGCAGAGACTGTGAAGTGTTATGAGAGGAATGAAAATCCGAAGAGGTAAACCATCGGACAAAGTGGCGAGAGTGAAGACTCTATCAATCATTAGCTGCGAAGTGAAATAGCAGTCAGTTGGGCGCGTCTAAGTTCCTGGGAAGGAGCCATGTAACTCTCTTCAAAAAGCGAGAAAGTGGCGGAGGAGACAACACCACAGCTGGACGCGGCCTCCAAGTTAAAGCTCGTATGGAAATTTTAGTGAAGTTGACTTTATGATCGTGAAGATAGTCTACAATCCTTCTATTTTATAAAGCGCTAACTTTGTGTGTCGGTTTGTGTATCTGTATGTGTGTGTGTGTGTGTGTGTATGTATGTATGTGTGTCCGTCCGCAAAATGAAGTGAGTGAGAAGGAAGCTCATGGGATAAACAAACCGCTAACAAATCGGGTAGCTTACAGGATTTGAGATATCAATGTTTTGTAGCAGGATAGTTGTGATAACACTTAGGGCTATATAAACACCTGCTTAGCACACTTCCGTTCATTCCACATGGTGCTGCAGTGGCAGCTGGAGGGCAGTGGAGAGAGGAAGGGAGGATGAGGAAGGGAAGCGAAAAATCTACCGTCATATCATGATTGTCCCTTCTACTGTTGAAACACCATTGTGTTGCATACGCGTCACTTCCAGGTGTTGGTGTCACAGGAGGAAGGGACCATAGCGGAGGATAGAAAGCTTGCGCAGGAAAGGAAGGTCCCGGCGGTTGACGGGGGACTAATCTGGTCTTTTGAAATCGATAGAATACAACTTGCCAACAGGGCTAGTATTCCATAAGGTTCAGAAATACGTTTAACATTTGGAAGGCTGTGTCACTTGTTGTTGTAGTGTCTGCACCCAATGTCTCAATTTTGAAGGGGGGGGGGTACTTATCCTTAGCGACCTCGGACCGTGTGACATCAACCGCTAGTTGTGCTTAGTTCCACTTGACCTCACTGGATCCTCCCTTGGGGAACAGGGTCAGTCCTATCGTTGCTACTTTTCGAAAAGTTTTTACGACCCCCTCCTTCAGGAAAAGTTTCCTACGACCCCCCTTTCCGACCAATTTTTACCCCAAAAAATTACCGTCGAGCGGGGGGGGGGTATATACTTCCCATAAAACCGCAAAAATTCCCTACATTTCTGCTACAATTTCCCTATGTTTTACCCATATTTCAACTGCTTCATTTTTAGGGGGGGCGCGCTGAAACGGCAAATTTTCTCCCGCGCCGCTCCCCTCTCATCACATGCCACTTCTTACAACCTAAGCAAGTACGACCCCCCTACAAACTCACCAAAATACGACCCCCCGTTGCTACTTGTAGCAACATAGGGTTGACCCCTACTCGGGGAGGATCTCAAAGCCTGTAGTGGTTGCTAGTGTTAAATGGTTTTCCAGCAAGTCATTCAGATATTAGGCAATGAGTAAGTGCCGAGATCCTCTATCATGGCTCTTATTACCGTCGAGTAATGCTGAGAGTGAATGTCGCAGAAGCTAACTGGTTCAGAGCGAAATCCTCAACGTCCCCGCGAGAAATCCTCGACCGATATTAGCCTGGATTAGGGTCATAGGTTGCAATGTGGAATATTTCTTTTCTATGAGAATATGAAGATGATGAAAAGACTACATGACTTCATGATTCGATAGTGGAATGGAAATGAATCCAATAACGATTCTGGATTAGTTACAGTGAAGTTCTTTCTCAACTCTGCACCACTTCCTGATAATGAGGTGACAGAAAATCTTCCCACTGCAAATAGTGCTTTAATGGAGTCATCGATATCAATGATCCTTTTTCAGCCATGTCTCTCCACGCAATTTAATTTCACATGCACGATAGGAAGTAGCTAGTACATTTTTAAGCCAAGCGTGCGCGTGCGGGTGGTACTGGCATATCTCCTACTCCTAGTTGACACTACATAGACTAACTTGCCTTGTCGGTGTGAAGTCCTATTAAAATATGTGGTACTGAATGGGTGGGGGAGGGCACCTCCTATGCAGCATCACCCAGAAAAGAATATTTCGTGGGCTTTATTTTCCGAAAAGAATCGAGCTCGTCTCCTTCACTTGGTATTGAGTGTCATGAGGTTTGTCCAACCATATCCAGCCCTTGTTCACAACTTGATCATATCAATGAAAAACCGTTGAAAAAAATCATGGAATTCATTGAAAAAGGCAAAAAGGCGAAAAGTACTTTATCCACTCAATTTACGTAACATTTATAGATATCACAAAGCTACTGATAATCAAGTTATACGAATCAATATCACCGTACTGATTGAAGCGCTCTGTCCTGACTGTCAAAGATGGATCGTCGAGGAGCTCTATCCGAACGTCTTCAAAAATTTCATGAATTTTGTAAATATTGAACTTGTTGTCCGTTTATGGGAATGCCAAGATCGTGTATGTTCAGCATTTTTCAAGTTAAGTTAAACGAAGCTCGATTTTTCTAAGATATATAAGTGCTAGTAATGGGACGACTTCGAATGTCAGCACGGACCCGTAAGAGTTGCTCAAAATCGGTTCGATCTTGGTGTGATCGAATTCCATGCAAATTCAGATCAATACATTCCACTGATTTATTGCATCGAAAACCAACTGATGGTATGTTTAAAGCGATCGCTTTGGAAAAAGTATAATGGAGAAATTACCTGCGGCCTTTATTTGTTTGGATTGCGCCATGCACTCGAATTCAAAAAACACTAATTACTTCTTGTTTTGTTTGTTAACTGCTGTTTTAACGCCGCAGTTCGCCTTGCGAATGTTTCACAAGAATGCTGGGTTGTGAACAAAACTTTCGCCCCAGGCGGGACTAGAACCCGCACCTCTCGCTTTTCGAAAAAGCGAGAGGTGCGGGTTCTAGTCCCGCCTGGGGCGAAAGTTTTGTTCACAACCCAGTATTCTTGTGAAACTAAGCACTTCATTTTTCATTCAAATTTTAGTCCATTTTTCGTGGATTTTTTTCTTTGAATATTGAGAAATGTTCATTCCAGTCAAAAGTCACCTTCGACAAAGCATCAGCCAAGTGCTTCAGAACACTATCGATCTCTGATGACATCCAACGGATGATACAGTACGTTCGAACAGCTGTTCCTTTTTTCTTTATCATCTAAATTCCTACGATATATGGTCGTAACCGTAACACTAGCAGCAGAAGTATGTAATAAAGCAGAAGCAAAGCAATCGGCATTGGTCCCCTTTTGGGATGCGCAACGCATTCCTCTTCCATTCAGAATTGTAGTAGAATTTTGGATGAGGTTTGCCTTTGCAATAGCTTATGAGGGCCAGCCGGGGTACAGGTCAGTCTTTCTCTCTCCCAGACAATTTTGGTTCCAAAAGACGGTAACCGACAGGAGGTCCGTCACGCAGCGAGAAGGCAGAGACCTAGACGGGTCAGCGGACGAGTTGCAGTGTGTACTGCTGTGATTTTGCGATCAAGTTGAACAGAATCTATCGTAGTACGTTTCACATCACACAGTCCGCCTGCTACTCACCATTGACCCGTCTGCGTCTCAGCCTTCTCTCCGAGCGACTGCTTCCTGTCGGTGCCCCTAAATAAGCGAGAATCCCAGTAGGGTGAATCTCATGACGTGGACAGCGCCGACCAAATTTAGGTCCCGAACAAGGAGTGAGTAAGCAGCGCCACTCACTCAGTACACCACTAACGCCCTCTAGCATGTGTAGCACAGTAGCGTAATGTTGAGAGTTGCGTTTTATATCGAAGTAAGCAGCATCAAGGCGATAGGATAGGTGGTGTGGAACACTATTAGTTCCTATAAATGAACTACTTGCCTAGGTAGTGATCGCGCTCTGGAGAGTTTAGTCGCATAGGTAATGGAATGTGATCTACAAACCATGTGTGTAGCAGAGGCACTTCTTGCTATCGCTCCAGCTCCGCTCACTTAGCTCTGAACCACTGAGAATAAGTGAGAACAAGTTTGCTGATCAGGTCCTGCTTGGTCTCACGACTTGGGGAACAGCTTCAGAAGAAAAGCTCTGCTTATTATAAATGACATTACGATTGGAACCCTAATGTTTCTCAATGGTTGCTCCAAAGAAGCTGTAAATAGTAAAATATTCTAAGATAGAGAAAGTAAATAACTAAGCAGTGTGTGTGTGTGGAACGGAAAGGACGAGAAGCTTCTCTCAAAATCTTCGAAATTCTGTAATTTTTCCTGCATTATATATTCTCTATTTCTGTGGAATTTAATTCGCTTCTGTTGCTTGAAAATCTAACAAAATCTGGGCTGGATTATTGTTGCTAGACCAGTGTTTTCCCAAGAGAATGACTCAATCTTCTCAGAAAACGAGCAATTTTCAGAAAACGTATGGCCCGATAAACACACACATGTTCCATGGGTGTTGATAAACGGCGTTTCATTGTCGAATGGTCAGATGATGATGGATCACCTACCGTATCTGCTATGTGAATGGTAAGAAAATGCTACAATTTAGAACTTAAAGGCTTAATCCAGGAAAACGTATGAAGAATTCCTCTGCTCTTTAACACGTTGACGACAGCCCCTTATGCGTGTACCTTGGCAACTTTTTGTTTTTTTTTTCACAATCGTCATAACTTCTTCAATAATTCCACTACTGGTAATTGACTCACAGTTTTTCGGATAAGATGACGCATGCACACAGTTTTGAAATATGAAAAAGGGCCAAATAAACCATAAAAAACTAGCCAGAATCGGGTAAAATTCTGCGCGCATGCGCGTCACGCTGTCGTCAACGTGTTAAGATAGAACCCTAGAGGACAATCACCGATGTGGCATTTCGTGCACGGAAACCACCCGGAAAGAGCGCTATGGTCCTACAGAGTGAAAATGCAGCAGCTGCAAATTTTTCTATCAGGGTTGGTTATGTTGACGCGCCTCTCATCTATCGCGCTCTCTTGCCTCATACTTTCCTCTCCGCGCTTAGTCTTTCATTACGTGCCAAAGCTGATTTCGAAGGAGAGTAAGCCCTTAACCTGGAGGGTTTTTCACAGATTCTTCCTCTTTCTTTTTCTTCACTACCCGCCCATTTCGCACCCAATACATTCGTATTCGTGTTGCAAGAACCATACCAGTTTGACCTTGGGGCATGCCTTTCAGCTTTGTTCGCTGCAGTAGTGCATGTTTAATGGGGTACTGGTGCCACGCTGGTGTCTACGTCTCTCTGGTCTTCATTCTTTCTCATCTCCTCGCCGTCAGATTCTCTCATTCGGGCATGCTTTGTTTTCAGTGCCACAAACCATAAAATCCTACAAAGAAGTTCTGAAGAAAGGTCCTAGATAAGGCATTTTCGGAGATAACTTGCGCTTTCTTTCCCTACAGCACCTACACCCAATGAAAATGTTTTGCCATCAAAAATGCCTTTGAGCGTTTTCAGGGCTCTGACGAGTCTCAGTAGGGTTGTGGGATGTAAACGGAAGTAAAAGCATGCCACACCATAGCGAAAGTAAAGGTCGGCATTGCTAGAAGCTCTAGTAGTTCAGGTGGAATTTCTCTTGTAGACGATTGAACGAAGTCGTCATACGCGAAATTCCAGTGAAGAAATATGCCACGAAATTTTGATTCCCATTCAAAAGTGCTGTTTGCAAAAAATAGCTTCGTAAACCTCCAAATATTCTTCGTTTCAGGTACGTAGGCGATAAGAAGATTCCATTCTGCCAGTCTGAGGAAAAGAAGAAGCTCAAAAAGGTTTCATGGAAATATTGAACTTCAAGTTCGGGTCTTTTTCCTGACTGTAATAAATGTTTGTGCTCTATGTTTGTCAGACATTTAGAGCTTATCATCGATGAAAATGGGAGAAAAATGTCAATGAGTTTTATGGCTTTCCCAGAATTTGCCCTAAAAGATCTCACAGAGCGCGGAAATACTCTCGTTTCCTTTCCTAGTGCTAGACAAGTAATTTATTGAGATACATGGAAAACAACGACTGAACAACTTCTTCAAATCCCTTAATAATTCTTTGAAACCTAATAAATCCAGAGAAGAAGCTTAAGAAAAAAAAACTTTTTTTCATCTAAACAATGATTGTTTTTGTTTGTTAACTGCTGTTTTTGGCCGCAGTTCGCCTTGCGAATGTTTCACAAGAATGCTGGGTTGTGAACAAAACTTTCGCCCCAGGCGGGACTAGAACCCGCACCTCTCGCTTGAACCAATTATCGCGCCAGTCGGGACTCGAACCCGCCCCTCTAGTTTACCGGGAAAGTGCGACAAGCGACGCTACCGAGGCACCTTTCAAAACCCTGAGTTTTTTCCACTTGCTCGCTAAGGGTGAGAAATGGGTTCGAGACCCACCTGGGGCGAAAGTTTTGTTTATAAGCAGTATTCTTGTGAAGCATAGCTGACCTTATCTAAGGTGAAACACTCACGAATCAAGGATAAGAAGAAAACCCTGCTGCTAAGGTAATGTTCGGATTCTTATTAAAGAAACACCCCCAGCAGACGTCGTGTCAAAGAATTTATTAAGTGGGGGGGGGGATAGAGTAATTATGGGTATCACAGATTTGCCGTTGTCACGGCTCGAAAGTGCGCAACAATGGCGCTAGGGTCTTACAAAGTCAGCATTTGCAGCG